TCCTCTGAGGCACTTTATGATCCATGAAAGAAAGCCATTTTTATTACTTTTAGAGTTTTTGAATCTGAAATAATACACTCCAATTGATCACTCATCTAATTCACCAGGCTTGGCTTCTGATGATTTTTGTTTATTTTCAGTAATTAAGTTTACCCCAAAATTTCCTCAGAGTGACCATAGGGAATGTCTAAAACATGTGTCCCATATTCTAAAAGCAATTCAAATAAACAAGTAAAAACAAAGAAAAGAAAATGAGAATATGTAATTTATCATATTCATTAGTTTTCACCAAAGCAGACAGTGCCAAATTTCTGTGAGTGACAGCAACTGAGATTTGTCTCTCACTCGTGTAGCCCACAGGCTGCAGACATGTTGTTCGGTTCGGCTCCACAGGACTCTGCATAGCGCTGCTCAGCTGTGCTCCACATGGCCTTCTATTTCAAGACACACACTGTTCTCATGGCAGAAAGCAGAAGTGCAAGGGGCAAACCAAACCACAGTGGCACTTTTAAATCACCTGTAACAACATGCACCCAAAGATACATTTTTTATATTAAATTCCCTGACCAAATCAAATCACATGATCAAACAAAGATTGGAGAAGCATATTCTTTTTTTTTATTTAGTAAATATAAATTTCCAAAGTACAGTTTATGGATTACAATGGCTTCCCCTCCCCCATAATTTCCCTCCCACTCACACCCCTCCCATCTCCCACTCCCTTGGAGAAGCATATTCTATCTATAGCAAGATACTATAAGTCATGTGGTGAACGGTGTGGGTATAGTCTTCCTCAGAGAAAAGAGACATAGCTTTTTATTTCTTAATAGAATTATTGAAATTTTTAAATTAATTCCATGTTAAGTATTGGACTTCATCTTTTATCTGCCCAAGGATGTTAAACACTCTTGAAGTTGTCATATTCTAGAATCCACCTGTGCTCACTAAAGACCTGTTTGCTGATCAACACACCTCAGCCCACGAAGGTAGCACCAAATGTGAGAGCAAATGGGAAGGGGAAGTCCTGGGGTGATCTGAAACCCCGCAGCTTCATCGTGTAGCTCAGTCTTTTCTGGATATTTCCTGGATATTTTCTCCCTCTTAACCCATAAGAAAATGCATGAATCATTAGAAATCTGAGTTAGCCCCTAAATGTGGGATATCGTGCTGCTGGAAACTGAAATTAGACTGAAGGAGGTGAGGAAGCAAAGAGGGCTGTGACTGTGGGATGGCTTGATTCTGCCCTGCTGAGCAGACCAATGCAATGGAATTGTCCATCCATTCCTGTGGCTCTGGCAACTCACTCCCCACGTGACCAGAAGCAACTCCGTGCATGAAAAAGCGTAGATAAGCTCTAATTTCTGAATGTCTTCACTTCATGCCAGGTAGGGTCTGTGACACTATTAGAGACCTCTTAGTCTTCCACAGTCCACTTAATTTAGGCAAATACCTTCATGGCAAACATGTTGTCGCCTCAGTTGTGTTTCCTTCCTCCTTCTTCTCTATCATTATTAACATTGTGGAAATCTTCTTTAATCATCTGGATTATATGCATTTATCCTCATTTTAATGTTGCCATAACTTCTGGTTTATAAGGCATTAAGGCTTTTGTATAAAATAAAATCTAATTGAATCACAGCTAGATCTCACAGACATTAGAATACACAGCTCTCCGGCATGTTGACATGGACCTTACAGTTTGTGTACAGTCACAATGCCTGCATTTTAAAAACACAGTCTTTTAATGGCCAGTTTTACTTCATACTTCTTAGTTCCTTGATCTTAACTTTCTATTTTAAGCACTGTATTTGGCATAAACAATACTGCTTCTCCCATGTCTTTTGGAAAAGATCTCTGTGATGCTCAGAGGAGAGGAGCCAGCTGTTCCTTGCAGTCTTATCAACAGAGGCACTAGGTAAAACGCACAGCATGAGGGATTTACCACTGCCTCCCAGTGAAGGTCATTGACACAGAACTGAGTTACCTCCACCTAAAACTCTGTAGTCCAACTTTCTTTTTAGTTGTTAAAAATTAACAATTGTGTTAATTTCTCGCATCAGAACGTCTGTGCCTAAAGACATAGGAATAGAAAAATTGATCTCTCGTGGTTATCTCCAACACACTAAGGTTGAATTCTGCAATGTGTAAAAACAAAGTTGCTATACATTAAGTGAAAAGCTGTGGAACTTGAATCAGACCTCACCAGGAGAACACTGAATCTTGGCGGAAGGACAGGGTTTGAATGAGGTAAACCCTCCAAAGAAAATAATCACAGCAGAATCTACTGAGCTTTGTTAGCTTTTGTGTCTTTGTGAGCATGGTCACATATTCTCCCTGCAAATCTCTGCTCTGCTTTAGCTAGAACAACCATAAAAAACAATCAAATACACTGTTCATGAACAAATGTACTTTGACTAGAATAATAAAATGAGTATGAATATGAACTAAATATACAATTCTGACATTTCTATGACCCAATCCTAAAATATATTTTTCTTTAATTATTTTAGTAAAAAGTTGTTTGTTTAATCCACCCAGTACAACTTCTTATCGTGCATATAGCAGTTTGGTGGATATATTTTTATGTATTAGAATAGTTTCTAAATATTTTTTAAAACAAGTAACCCAGTATTCAAAATGGATCAAAGTCGATAACCATTAATATGGCATGTAGACATTATATGCAAGCTTTTTATTTCACTGAAACCCAAGTAGACTATAAAATCGAGTATTACCACAGTCCTCACGGTGTACCTGACAGGTATACAGTTCTACACGAAGTAGCCATCTCCCACATGGGTGACAAGGACCCAAGACTTGGGCATCCTCCACTGCCTCTGAGAATGTACATTAGCAGGGAACTGGATCAGAGGCAGAGCATCCAAGACTTAGACCAGCACTCCTATATGAGATGAGCACACCCCAAGCAGAATCTTAACCTGCTGTGCCACAATGTCCGGGTGCTTGCATTTGCAGCCCTGCATTCCCACAGACACAACACATCTTTTCTTAGAGCCTGCAACAAATGATGTGATGTATTATTACATGGTTAACATTTTAAAATCTCATCATAAGGATAAATAGCAATTTTATACTATTTTTCTTACATTAAAAATAACCAGATAGCAATAGAGCATGCAAACACTGTTTTAAAAAGTTCATGTAAAGTGTGTAGCATGAAAAATCTATGAATAGATTTCAACATTTTTACACCAAAATAAATTTATCTTTTAATTCCCTTTTCTGTGAACTTCTTGAAGTATCTGCAAATTTTTCCTGTGATACATCTTGAGCATCTCGAGGTTTTGGTAATGTTTCTCTGAATGCTTACTAGAAGTAAGAAATATTGTTTCCCACACAGTTCAAATTTCCTTTGGGAAAGTAAAAAGAGGTGCTAGAGGATTGGCTTTGTGACAGTGACAAAGGAGCAGAGAGTCACCTCCAAACAATGCAAACTCATTCCACTGAATTTTGCCTTGAATGTGTAGGAACTGGAGTGGACGTTGCGGCACAGCAGGTTAAACTTATGCTTGGGATGCCTGTGCCCCATAGCCAAGTGTTGATACAGGTCTTGGCTGCTCTGCTTCTTAACTAACTCCTGCTAATATTCACTCTCAGAGGCAGCAGGTGACAGAACAAATACTTGAGCCCCTGTTGCACTTCTGTCTCCTGGCTTTAGGTTGTCTGTTACAAGCACATGAGAAGTGAACGTGGGAAAAGAAGTTCTGTCTCCCTCTCTCTCCCTGCCACTCTGCCTTTTAAGCAAATAAATAAATACAACTTTTAGGACAATATGTAAGAACAGAAAACATTGAGCAAAAATAATGTGTTAGAGTATCTGTAGTATAGTACATACTGGGCAGAGAATTAGGAATGCAGAATGAAAGTTACCTACATATTTTGGCCTGTATGCCAAAAATCCTTTTTTTTCTTATTATTATTAATCCATTCTTATAATTTTGCTTTAGTCCTTGAATGCTAATTACTGTTCAGAGAAAGGAAAAATTAAGTATCAGTTAATATTAACAGTATCAATAGAGGTTGAAGTCCAGAGGAATTAGTCTTTTTGTTATTCCGTATCAGTGTTTAAGTTGCAATGGAAAGTAAATCTTAACATATCAGAATTATTTTATCACAATAGAAATTTTCACATGGCCGAGTAATGTCTGTCGTTGCTCCACTGTATTGTCAAATATCCACCCCTGGTCCATTGTCTTGCAGTTTTCTAATTTCTTCCTGCTCTATTCCTCTCCTGTACACAATGTGAGCAGGCTGCCAAACACAGTCAGAAGTTGATTTAGGAAGGATGCAAGAAAGGGATGGACTAGCGTTCTTTGCCTGCCTGATACTTAGATCATGCTAAGCACTTTTGAATGTTTAGTTGATTCTATGTTCTCTTTCGCTCTATGGGATCAGAGTTATTACCTCATTTAGCAGATAAAGAAATAAAATCAGCCTAAGTAACTTGCAAGTTGTTGAGCTGTGATCTGAACCCATGAATACATGAAAACAAATCTAGCCTTTATAATATCTTCCTCCAGAGCACCCAGGGGAAGGGTTAGAATGAAAAGCAACTGATGGGGACAGTGTGGGAACATTATCACTCCACGAAAAGAAGAAAAAGCTATATTTGCTGGCTGAGACACAGTAAAGTAGTTATTTATGAAACCTAAAGTTATTTCTTCATTTTTAACATCAAAAATATGTTTTTAAATGTGTTTGTTGCAGAATTAAGATGACTGAAAGAAGCAAAAAAATGCATTGTTAATTGAAATGAGAAAAGGCAGCTCTCTTATTGATTTTTCACTCTTGGAATCTCATTAGCTATCCGATGGAACTTGATGATCACCAACAAATAAATAACTTTCCCCCCTCCTGGACTGTTAAACTGCCCCAAACCACAAAATACAGATTAGTCTGAAATGTGTTTTTATTCCTTCTGGAAATGGTTAAAAAAAATCAGCTTTAGATACAGAATTCTCTTTCTCTCTTTCCTTCAGGCTGCTAAAGGATGCACAAAATGAAGCTTATTTCAAAAGCTGGTATCAGAAATTATTGGCTGCTCTCCAGTTCTGTGCAGGAAAAGCCCTGAGTGATGAATTTGCCAACGAGAGGAAACTTATCAGAATTCTGGGTGATATTGGGGAAAAAGTCAAGTCTGCCAGTGACTCTCAAAGACAGGTTTGTTGAGAAATCAATCTTTAGGTGGTGATTTTTTTTTTCACTTGGGTTCAATTAACTTTTAATTTCATAGCTTAGGGAGCAAACTCCTCCACTAAGGTAGAAGACACTTAAATCAATTACTTCAATCAAGATTTTTTTTTTCGCATTTACAATCCTAAAGCTAATGATAATGTCTATCAACAGGACATGGTTTTTGATCTAAGCAGTTGTATAGCACACAGACTGAACATGATAAGAAGAGACCCATTTAAAAGCAATTTTCCTAAAAAGGCCCAATGATAAAATCTCAAAACAGCTCAGTCTCATGGGAGAAAGTATACAAAGTCTGCATTTTCCTAAATAGAGTCACTTTTTATATGACTTTTTTGGTTGGGTATTTGGTGCAGTGGTTAACACCCTGTTTGGGACACCATCATCTGCCATGCAAGTGCTTGGGTTCATTCCAGCTCTGCTCTCAAATCCAACTTCCTGCAAATGTGTAACTTGGGAAGCAACAGGTGATGGCTCGAGTACTTCATCCCTGCCACCCATGAGGAAGACCTGGACTGAGTTTCTGGATCCTAGCTTGGTTCTGGCTGAGCCCTAGTGTTTGGGGAGTAAGGCACCAAAGGGAAGATATCTGTCTCCATCTCTCTGCCTTTCAAATACATAAAAATAAATAGTTTTGAATAAGGACTCTAAATTTTCTTTTGTTTGACTACGACAAATAAAGTGAACTGAATGAAATAGATCAATAGTGTTATGGGTAGTAATACAAAGGTATTTCAAAGAAGTTCATGAAAATGGAATTAAATGTTTGTTTTAATGGCAAAAAATGAAATTCATGCTATAATATACATTTTTTCTTAAACTTTTTAAAGACAACTCTTTGTGATTATTTCAAAAAATATACCAAAATAAATTTACCTCTTAATTCCAATTTCTGCTTACTTTTTAAAATACCCCTTATACTTTTTATACTGAAACCCATGGATAGTAATCAAAATAGCGTGCCTCTTTCTGATTGTAACAGTGGACCTAGCCATTCTTTTTCTTGGCCTAATGGAAGAACATTTGCTCTTTTTAATTATCTGCATCACTAGTTCCTTTCATTGATATAGACCATTAAGTAGGTCTTTTAAGTCCAACATTCTGCATTCAGGGGAATAGTGGACAGCCATCCATTTAGTTAAGAATATTGTTCAGTAATGGAGTACTTATAGTACACTCAGAGATACGTGTAGAACCATGACTGAAACATGAGTTTTATTCTAGAGGGAACTCAGTTTCTCTCCACTGACTACCTAAAATCAACAACAGTTTTCAGCAAAGAACTATAAAAATAGTAATGGTCATAGTATCCCAAAATTCCCTCCCAATCTACAATTTTTCTTGCTAGAAGTCACTTTATTCAATAAAAATGCCAAAAGCTATGCTAGTTCACCTACCTAGAGGAAAATGGAATAAAAAGCAGAAATATGGAATTTATTTGTAAGTATTATATATGTAAATTCTGGATACATAGAGGAGCTTTAAGGTATATAACACAATAAGTAATGCCAAAACTAAAATCTATGATTTCTTGATGTTCCTACAAGCTCATTAAATGTTTCCTGGTGTTAATAACAAGTAAAATAGGTTTTTTTTTTTTAGAATTTCCAGAAGTTTGTATATGAGTTTGCTCTTTATTCTTTTGCTTTGAAATCCTTCACATATTTAAGATGCACACTTCAGTTCAATAATTCCAGTACTATTTCCTGCCGTTTGCATGAAGTTTTAGAGATATAATATTGACATTATTCATTAAACTAAATGTATTTGTCTTGCCTTGACTGACTCCTTTTTTGGAGACTTCCTCACATGAAAATAGGAAGGATCAAAAAAACCGATAGAGGCATTTATAATTTCTCACAATTGATGTATCCAGTGGCTAGTTTCTTTCTACTTTCAAAAAAGGATGAATTAAACCTAGCTGTATTAAATGGAGAAGAGATTTTTACTTAAACAAAGATATCTGAGATTTTCCTCCAGGGTATATAGCTAGCAAACCTATGGGTAGATTAGACCAAGGAGGGGGCACAGGAGCACCATGATGGGATTCTGCTTCATTTTCCACCTTGCTCTTTTGAATCCTAAGAGCAGATTCGTCTGTTATTTGCCACTGATCCAGGATTAAAAGCTACAAAACTGCAGTTATTTAAATACTATTAATCTAGTGTCCTCTCTATAGTATTAGATGTATTAGCATTTTTCTTTTTTTTGGACAGGCAGAGTGGACAGTGAGAGAGAGAGAGAGACAGAGAGAAAGGTCTTCCTTTTTCCGTTGGTTCAACCCCCAGTGGCCGCTGCGGCCCACACACCGCGCTGATCCGATGGCAGGAGCCAGGTGCTTCTCCTGGTCTCCCATGCGGGTGCAGGGCCCAAGCACTTGGGCCATCCTCCACTGCACTCCCGGGCCAGCAGAGAGCTGGCCTGGAAGAGGAGCAACCAGGACAGAATCTGGTCTGCCGGCGCCACAGGTGGAGGATTAGCCTATTGAGCCGCAGCACAGGCCTGTATTAGCATTTTCAAAAAGGAGCTATAGGGATTTTTTTTTTCTTGTTTTGTGATGAGTCGTTATGGTCTACTACTTCTGTGTGCCAAAGGATGCCCAATTCTAAAGGTTTTTATTGAGATTTCACTCCACAGGTACTTTGGAGTATAGAAGGGACTAAGTACCAGAAGTACACTCATTGGCAACTAGTATACTCTTTTCATATATTGTTTCTAACAGTCATATACAATTGCTATTTTTGTCAATGCATTTGAATATTTTGAAAATGTACTAGTATTACTATGTAATTCTTGAGAGTTATAAACAAAGATTTTAGGAAATTATCAGAATAGCATCATGTTAATAGTTATACAAAGCAGGAGTTCATTGCATGGATTAGAATTTTTAATCAAACTTGAGGTCCGTTAGAGAGCGCACACACTGTTTAGCTCCCATTTTTCACAGCCCTCCCTACATCTGTAGACTGCTGTGTCCTCATCCATGACTACGTCACCCACCTGACCCCAAAGTCACCCAAGTGTGCAACCCTTGAAATAAAGACTTTAATCACTAGAAAAAAATTCTGACTTACAGGAAAAGTCAAGCTCTTTACAATTTAAGTACTTTTCCTAATGATTTCTTTCTGCAGGAAGTACTGAAGAAAGAGATTGGTAGACTAGAAGAATTTTTCCAAGAAATAAGAACTTGTCACCTTCCATTGAATCCTGCCTTATGTATCAAAGGGATTGATCATGATGTAAGTCAACTTATTCAATACATAAGTTATTTCTGTCCTGTATTGCTTAGTTCACTTTATATTTTTCAAATGGCAAACAGAAGTTATCAATTGACATTGTAATTATGTTAAGGTAAACAGTTCAGTCGTATCCACACTGTTGTGCTCCACTTGATGCACTTGACCATTTGGGATCACATTGACCATATCAAATGGTTTCTTAAACATACTGTCAGTTCAGTGGGGAAAGATATAAAGGAATTTGTTATTAATTGATTTCCTGACTTATTCAAAATGGTTGATTTGATGACCCCATGCATGCTGGATATAATTTCATGGTTTATTTAGACCATGTTATAACCATGTCTAGTAAATTAATATTAAGCATTAGCTACACGTCTCCATTGTGATTCAACTTAATCCATCAGTCAGCTATTATGGGGAGAAGCACTCAGGCTGGCTCCATCCATTTCTTAAAACACTGATCTAAAACATGAGGGAACTTATGTTTAAGTTTTCTATGTAAGGTAGAGGAGGCAAGATGGCGGAATAGGAAGGGAGCACACACTGATAGTCCGGGGAGAGACAGTTTAATAAAAGTGGAGATACTGCAGATTCAAGGAAGAGTAGGGGAGGAAACAGCAGAAGAAAGTATTCTGGAACGCGTGATTCACAGTGGACCTGCATGGAGAGCGTGGGAGCCCACAGTTCGGGACACCAGCGGCAGACTCAACACACCAGCGCTGGAACGCGAGGTGAGCCGAACCGCAATAGCCCGAGACACCGGGAGGCAAGCGGAGAGAGGAGACTAGAGGGAACGACCCCTGGGGGGGGGGAAAGTTCACCAGGTTAACTGGAAGAGAGAGAAAGAAAACAAAAGGTGACTGGTACGGACACGGGTTTCTCTCTCTCCGCTCACCTCTCAAGGCCGAGCAAGACAAAGAGCAGGCGCCATCTTGGACATACGTCATAAGTAGAGCGACCTCAGGTCTGCACCGGCCCTGAGCCTAGCAGAAAAACCTGACTCTGGGTGGGGCGAATTAACAGGAGATTAGGACCTAGTAAATTTGTGGTGCTACTGAACTGAGACTGTGAAAAAAGAGACGGTGGGGGAGAGAACTCACGGAATTCACGTGAGCACTCTCCAGAGACACTACAATTCCGTAACTTAGGCAACCCCGTGGGAGACTGAAGGAGAATCTGAGCCCACTCTGAGGGCAGAACAGATTCCCTGTGTGGTCCTTGGGAAAGAGCTTCCGATCTCTGGCTCCTGTGGGTATATCATTTGCCTGCTAACTACCTCCAACTTCGTTCAGCTGTGCGGAATTACTTCCCTTTTGAATCAAAAAAAGAAAGGGAGAGAGAGAGATCTACTACGCCTAACCTGGGAGTGTCACCTTTGGCACACCAAACAGAGCTCTCAGGCCACACCCATCTCAAGCCTCTAAGGCTCCATCAAAAACAGACAGTCCACTTAATCTAGAGTCATAGTATAACAAGAAAAAGTACCACAGTGAAGAAACCAAATATCTCCAATATGCCAAATAACAAACGCAAAAACCGAGGCAATAAAAACAAGGAAGTCACCATGACGCCCCCAAACGAAAAAGACACCCCAATTCAAGATTATGAAGATGATGAGTTAGAAGAAATGCAAGAAGCAGATCTCAAAAAATTGATAAGAACATTAAGAAGTTCTCAAAAACAAATTCTTGAACTACAGAAATCCTTAATGGACAAGATAGAAAATCTCTCTGGTGAAAATGAAATATTAAGGAGGAATCAAAATGAAACGAAACAACTAGTACAACAGGAAACTGTGATAGTGACAAGAAATCATAATGAAGTGAAGAATTCAATAGATCAAATGAAAAACACAATAGAGAGCCTTATGAACAGAATGGGTGAAGCAGAAGAGAGAATATCGGACTTAGAAGACAAGAGAACAGGAAAGGATACAGTCAAACCAAAGAAAAGAAGAGGAAATTAGAAATCTAAAACATATTGTCAGGAATCTGCAGGATACTATTAAAAAACCAACATTCGGGTTCTAGGAGTTCCTGAAGGCATGGAGAGGGAGAAAGGATTAGAAGGCCTTTTTAGTGAGATATTAGCAGAAAATTTCCCAGGTTTGGAGAAGGACAGAGAAATTCTAGTACAGGAAGCTAACAGAACCCCTACTAAATATGACCAAAACAGATCCTCACCACGACACGTTGTAATTAAACTCTCCACAGTGAAACATAAAGAAAAGATCCTAAAATGTGCAAGAGAGAAACGTCAGATTAGTCTCAGAGGATCTCCAATGAGACTCACAGCTGACTTCTCATCAGAAACCCTACAAGCTAGGAGGGAATGGCGAGATATAGCCCAGGTACTAAGAGAGAACAACTGCCAGCCCAGAATATTATATCCTGCAAAGCTATCATTTGTGAATGAAGGTGAAATAAAGACTTTCCATAGCAAACAGAAATTGAAAGAATTTGTTGCCACTCGTCCAGCCCTGCAAAAGATGCTTAAAGATGTGTTACACACAGAAACACAGAAACACGGTCATCAATATGAAAGAAGGTAAAGGAAGGAAACCTCACAGCAAAAGATCACAGGGAATTCAAAGCATATATTGGAACTTACCTTTGACTAATGGCAGGGCAAAGTTACCACTTATCATTAGTCTCATTGAACGTTAATGGCCTGAACTGTCCAGTTAAAAGACACCGACTGGCTGATTGGGTTAAGGAACAAAACCCGTCTATTTGCTGCTTACAAGAAACACATCTTTCCAACAAAGATCCATACAGACTGAAAGTGAAAGGCTGGAAAAAGATATACCATGCCAACAGAAATGAAAAAAGAGCGGGCGTAGCCATCTTAATATCGGACAAAATAAAGTTTACCACAAAAACTGTTAAGAGAGACAAAGAGGGGCACTATATAATGAATAAGGGATCAATACAACAAGATATAACAATTATCAATGTATATGCACCTAACTACAGGGCACCGGTTTATCTAAAAGATTGGTTAAGGGACTTAAAAGGAGACTTAGACCCCAATACAATAGTACTGGGGGACTTCAATACTCCACTCTCAGAAATAGACAGATCAACAGGACAGAAGATCAACAAGGAGACAGTAGATTTAAACGACACTATAGCCCAAATGGATCTAACAGATATCTACAGAACTTTCAATCCTACAGCTAAAGATTTTACATTCTTCTCAGCAGTACATGGAACTTTTCTCTAGGATTGACCACATACTAGGCCATAAAGCAAGTCTCAGCAAATTCAAAAGAATTAGAATCATACCATGCAGCTTCTCAGACCATAAAGGAATGAAGTTGGAAATTAGCAACTCAGGAATCCCTAGAGCATACGCAAACACATGGAGATTGAACAACATGCTCCTGAATGAACAATGGGTCACAGAAGGCATTAAAGGAGAAATCAAAAATTTTCTGGAAGTAAATGAGGATAACAGCAAAACATACCAAAACTTATGGGATGCAGCAAAAGCAGTGTTAAGAGGAAAGTTTATATCAATAGGTGCCTACATCAAGAAATTGGAAAGGCACCAAATAGATGAGCTTTCAACACATCTCAAGGATCTAGAAAAACTGCAGCAAACCAGACCCAAATCTAGTAGGAGAAGAGAAATAATTAAAATCAGAGAAGAAATCAACAGGATTGAATCCAAAAAAACATTACAAAAAATCAGCCAAACGAGGAGCTGGTTTTTTGAAAAAATAAACACAATTGACACCGCATTGGCCCAACTAACTAAAAAAAGAAGAGAAAAGACCCAAATCAATAAAATCAGAGATGAAAAAGGAAACGTAACAACAGACACCACAGAAATAGAAATAAAAAGAATCATCAGAAATTACTACAAGGACTTGTATGCCAGCAAACAGGGAAACCTATCAGAAATGGATAGATTCCTGGACACATGCAACCTACCTAAATTGAACCAGGAAGACATCGAAAACCTAAACAGACCCATAACTGAGACAGAAACTGAAACAGTAATAAAGGCCCTCCCAACAAAGAAAAGCCCAGGACCAGATGGATTCACTGCTGAATTCTACCAGACATTTAAAGAAGAACTGACTCCAATTCTTCTCAAACTATTCAGAACAATCGAAGAAGAGGGAATCCTCCCAAATTCTTTCTATGAAGCCAGCATCACCTTAATTCCTAAGCCGGAAAAAGATGCAGCACTGAAAGAGAATTACAGACCAATATCCCTGATGAACATAGATGCAAAAATCCTCAATAAAATTCTCGCCAATAGAATGCAACAACACATCAGAAAGATCATTCACCCAGACCAAGTGGGATTTATCCCTGGTATGCAGGGATGGTTCAATGTTTGCAAAACAATCAATGTGATACACCACATTAACAGACTGCAGAAGAAAAACCATATGATTATCTCAATAGACGCCGAGAAAGCATTTGATAAAATACAACACCCGTTCATGATGAAAACTCTAAGCAAGCTCGGTATGGAAGGAACATTCCTCAATACAATAAAGCAATCTATGAAAAACCCACAGCCAACATCCTATTGAATGGGGAAAAGTTGGAAGCATTTCCACTGAGATCTGGTACCAGACAGGGATGCCCACTGTCACCACTGCTATTCAATATAGTTCTGGAGGTTCTAGCCAGAGCTATTAGGCAAGAAAAAGAAATTAAAGGGATACAAATTGGGAAGGAAGAACTCAAACTATCCCTCTTTGCAGATGATATGATTCTTTATTTAGGGGACCCAAAGAACTCTACTAAGAGACTATTGAAACTCATAGAAGATTTTGGCAAAGTAGCAGGGTATAAAATCAGTGTACAAAAATCAACAGCCTTTGTATACACAGACAATGCCATGGCTGAGGAAGAACTTCTAAGATCAATCCCATTCACAATAGCTACAAAAACAATCAAATACCTTGGAATAAACTTAACCAAGGACGTTAAAGATCTCTACAATGAAAGTTACAAAACCTTAAAGAAAGAAAT